GTGCCTTGGACATGGTCGCATCTCGCCAGGGCAGCATTCCCAACACACGCAGCGCACCCAGTATGCCCGTGCAATGAATTACTGGTACAGGCTTGTGCTCCAACGACAGCCCATCACCGGCGCTGCTGCTATCGCTGTTGCCAGACAAATGTCAATGGACGCATCTGGATGGAGCGGCAGGAGCGGTTTCTCGACCGTGGTTGGTTGGAATCACAAAAAGCTCGAGTCATCAGTGGCGCAGACTTTTCTCCTCCGGTGTTCCATGCTTGCTGCCTACATGAGCGAAAGAGGCGGTCTAGCTGCCCAACTCGAGAGCCTCAATCAGCGATTTTACAGACCCCTTTTCAGCCTTACCCCAATCAACGCCCTTCAACTTTTGTGCTGCTGGGTCATTGAGGCTGATCGAGGTTAGTCCCCAGAGCTCATCAACCACAAAGCTCCTGATACGTGGCCATGGATGCATCATGAGGGCACCGAGTCTCTTACGAGCGTCCGTGATACCCTCTTGTTTCCGCTGTTCATCTGTACCGTCCACAGATGCCTGTTTAGAGCCGTGGGATCGACCGAGCGCAGCGACGGCGCCGTAGACCCTGATACAGGCCTCGATCTTGCGCACGTTTCCCGTCTTATAGCAAGCTTTTTGGGCCTGTAGGCATAGGCTCTTGTAGTTGATCTTGTCACATGTTTGAAAGATGCCCACATGGAGCAGGAAAGCAGTGATCTCCAATGTCGGGACTAGCACGCGGTCCTGGCCTTGCCTGCTCTTAAGATTGCGAAGGAGTGCAGTGCACACGGCGTCTGTCTTCTCCTTCGACTGTTGGCAAAAGTCGCACAGGGCAGCTCTAGTTGCGATGACAAGCTCTTCGTTTCCGGTGTCGGCGGATGAGACAAGTCCTGCCAGGAGCTCCTCCATCCAAATATCCGGGTCAGCTTTAAGAGTGTCTGATATACTGGGTTGTAATGCGTCTTCGAATAACAAATTAAGCAAGAAGCCGAAGTAGACTCTGGAAGAGAAAGTTGATTCGCGAACCCTAGCAGAGCAACTGGAACCTGTCAGCATCTTTGTTGACAATAACATCAGGCAACCGGACTGGACTCACTTCGATTTAAGAGCCAGAGCTAGAGCTGTCTGCGCTTCAGCTCTAACTTTGTCCAACTTCTCGGCTGCAAGACGCAAAATGCGCAAGAACAACGCTGAAACAACCCGGACAGCCTCGTTTGTGGGAAGTCGATCGAGTCTCTCCCAGAGGAACTTTGTTGCTTTGATAGCCTGCAAGCGGACTAGAGACCCGACGTCACCCCGTGCATTGGTGGTGTAGTCATCCAAGCCGGCGGCAATCAGCTCGAGAAATGTGTCAACATTTTCTCGCAATATATCACTCTGAGTTAGACTAGAGAGGATAGAAACTCGGGTTTCAATCTCATTATCACTCTTCCAACGCTCGACAAAGGCGCTGCACATTAAGCTTCTGTCCTGCTCAGCGACCTTCAAAGTCGCAAGTACGGAGTACGACATGGCGAGCGCAGCGAAATATCCCGACGCGGTAGTTGCTCGACCAGATGGACGATAACGAACAGCGTCAGCCCATTCGCGTACGACGTTTTCACGCTCAGCATCTTCACAGAATATGAGCAGAACAAGCGCAGCTTCAGAAGCTACATATATGATTTCCTGCTCGGGACGGACAAGCCATTTTGCCAGGTTAGCTTTAGCAAGTCCTGCAATCCTGCTAACTTGTTCAGGTCTAGGTGTCATCTTCGCAACCAGGCTGGAAATCTCAATGCCACTTTTTGCAAAGAGGGCTTGTCCAGGCAGCAATACCTTTTCGGGCGACCTTAGTGTAGCACCATTACTGCTCAGTACAGATGACTGCAAGACCGGGAAGGAGGATATTATCAAAGAGCTCGCTCCCTCGGCGATCAATTCCGGTTTACGGTATGTTGTGATGTTGGCATCTGTCAGGATTTCTGTTAACCCCGCAAGAGAATGGGAAATGAAGTTTGGGATAGAGTCGTGGGAAACGGTGCTTCCTGCGTCTTGAGACGCGCTTGCAATATTCGGGAATGCGTCGAGCAAGGATGCAAAGCTCATAAGTAGCCCGTGTCTTTCCTCCACTTGCCGTACTTGCAGTGACTTGACCCGGTCAAGGACCATGGTCATGAAGTGCGTGAGCCTTGCAGCCGAATCAGGAACGCCCACGGCAAGCTCTGAAGCAATGGTGCCAAAGGACGCTCCTGCTGCTCTTCTTGCCATGGCGTCGAAATCGCCGATGCCCCTCCAGCCGAGGAGAGCGTGCAAAATGGCCTCGCCATACTGACTCGATAATTTGGTGACATTCAGGGCGACCTCCTGGAGAGCTCTGGATCTCCGAGCTACAGCGTGGTAGTCAACTGTTTGAACCACCCAAATTCCCTTCTCAACCGTATCAGGATGACGGCCAATCAGTTCCTGCAAGGCGGCAGAAGAACCACGTCTGATGTTTCCTGATGGATCCAGGCATGCAGCCACCACGAGTTCCGTAGCCAGAATTTGGAGCATAGAGGCCTGTTGGTTGTAGGATCTGGCTGAAATCGTAGAGCTGGTGGGGACTGCAAGCAGTTCCTTTGTACTATATCTACGTGCGAGTGCCCATATGCCGAAGCACGCCGCATCTCGAACATTGGTGCCGATAGATCCGCCAGAAGTTCCTCGCCTTTCGAACGAAAGCCCGGTCAAAAGGGCATTGATGATGCCATTGAGATTTTCTGCCGGGGGTGAACGTCTGTATAGCAGGTGGGATAGAGTGAGCATCAGCCCATGCCACTCGAGAGGATCAACGGCGCCAATGTCCATGACTGGCGGTGCGTTTGTATCCTTGGGGTCCTTGACCCATAGGACATTTTTGTTCAACGAGTCAATCACGGCCTCGACAACTTCTGAGGCCATGTCAGGATCAAGCTTCAAGGTGATGACACTCAGAGCTTTGCTAGCAGCGAACCGGACTGGCGTATCATTATCTGCAAGATTTTCGAGTAAGAAACCAATGGTAGTTTCAATAATCTCCATGCTCGACATATCTTGCCTAGACATGCGCAAGATGGAAACCGCGAGTGACCGAATCACCTTGATCATTGTCTTGCGAGCCAGTGCCGATGACATGACGGAACCGGCAGCATTTTGATCAGTGGCAGCCCCATGAACCTCGTGAAACAAAGTCAGCAGATATTTGTCCATGTCGGAGGTATCGATTGACGAGATAAGAACGCCGGACAGGAAGGAGAGAACGCCGATGTAATGGTAAGGTGTTCTCTCAAGTCCCTCTTGAGGGCGAAGAGCGGAGAGAGCCCAATTTACCAAGGCATCCATTACGCCAAGTTGTTGCATATCTCTGCGCATGGAAACACGGACCAAGAGGGCTTTTGCGGCATCTCGCTCCTTGCCCGGGGAGGCAAGATACTTGATGGCCAGAGGCAGAATGCGAGTAGTTATACCGGGAAGACCTCGAGGCCACTGAAAACCGGGTATAGGCACGAGATCATCCTGCTCGATATCGGTTGATGAGATGGTGGCCAAATCAAAGGGGGCAAGCATAAGGTGTGAAAGCCACAACAAAACAATATACCTCTCCTCCCAGGTCCACTGCGGACCGCTACCAGCGGCGGCGGTGCTGGCATCAGTCGAGGAGGGCTGTGCGTCTTGGTGTCTTTCTGACTCCTCCAGGGCGGATAGTACAAGCTCGAGGTACTTTGTCTCGTTGTTGAGAAAGCGGACAATGACCTTTTCACCACGAATCTTGCAGAAAGTGTACAAGATCTTGCAAATGGCCCTCGGCAACGGAGTCAACAGATCCGATCGGGTCGATAGCAGTTTGTTCCGGTAGCGAGATTGCTGATACTCGAGGAAGTTCTCGGCAAGGATGGGAAGCCATTTCGGCAGCCAGGGATCCAGAAGCTGTGGGAGTTCTTGGAAAGGATCAAGGAGCTGTGGATCTCATTAGTTCTCGCTGCCATCGTATACGACTGTAAAGACACTTACTCCGGAAATGATGCGCTCCAGCTCACGAGAACGCACACGGGATCTGACTACAGTGCCACCGGAGCCATGCTGCTTCCTGAGGAAGGGGACTAGGGAGGTGTCGAAATCGGCGATGAGGTCATTGGATATTTTTTGTAGCTTGATGTCCAAGTCGTCTTCTGGCGCGTCCATGATGATGACACACTGCAGTCTCGAAGTTTGATAGTCTAGTAGGATTGAGTGATGGACAGTCGGTGATGATTTCAAGTAAGATGGTTGGTTGATGCCGGCTTCACTTTGGAGCACGGTGCCTGCCGTGAGACTGCGAGGGGAGACTGCCAAGAAAGACAGCTCATTGGCGCTGCCGTCGGTAGCCTGAGTGCCGATGTACCCCGCTTCTACAATCACTGCAAAACAATCCACTGCTCACTCTCGACGGAAGGAGCAGCCAGCAACTACAATCCGATCACGAAGGCAGCATGGACACGCGCTTCGTTCATGTATCATCGAAATCTCTGCACCTGCCTCAACTGGTCAAATGAACGATCGGAGGCCGACGTCGGAAGGTTTTCTCGCTACCTTAGGCTGCAGTATCTTACACTACTACCGCTTCACGGCACTTGGCAGTTGTTCTTGCTGTGTTCGTCAATCGCAGCGGATCACAACAACTGAACAACAACAAACAGCTCACGGCCTTCTCACCACAGCCGGGCATTCAGACACAGGTCACATTGGGCACAGCATGAATCGGTCCCGATAGTGTCGATACTGTTTGGTCTTTATTCAAGTACACCATGGCATGGTCCAATCTACCCTCATGTTCGACCCATATTCCAAGGTACCAAACAGACCAAACACCATTAGAACTACTGATTACCACAAGGAAGCCGCCCGTATTCCATTCCACTTGGTATTACATTACACCACGCTCATATCGTACAGCCATCGAACCCCAAACGCCGTCGTAGAAACCGCGCCCATTCGAAAATGAAAAACAAACACTAAACTACTTCTTGATCGCCGTCAACGCGCCCACCAGCACATCCATGGCCGAGCTGTGTGTTGCTGCCGTCGGCCCCTTGCCTGCCTCGGCTGGCCCTGCCCAGCTGATGCCCAGCTGGTTCTGGGAGTTGCGGTTGTGGGCCCAGATCGAGTCGGCGTTCTTGAGGATGGCGTCCCGGAAGTTGTCGTGCGGCGCTACGTTGTGGAGGTAGGCCAGATTGCGCACAAAGACGCCCTTGAACTGACTCCCGTCATCGCCACAGTGGGGTTCGCACCGGTCGATTTCGCGGATGATGCCGTTTTCGTCCTGAAGCGCCTTGAGCGCTGCATTCGCGATGGTGACGGCTTCGGCCAGATAAGACTGGTCGCCCGTCGCCTTGGACAACTCCACCAGGCCGCCCAAGATGACGCCCTGGTTGTACGACCACGTCGGCATTTTGTTGTTGACGCAGCCCTGGTCCGTCCTCTTCAGCCCGTCGTTGATGAGGCCCTTGTCGTTGATCAAGCCGCTTTGCTTGAACCAGTTCCACGCCTCGACCGTCTGGCTTATGTACCAGTCTTTCCTCGGCGACTCCCGGTTGGCGAGACTGGCGCCTAGGGCGATGTACAGTTCGTTTGCAATGGCGTTCTTGTATTTCCTGTCCTTGCTCCACCATATGCCTCCTCCGCATGTCGGGTCGAGGCCATTTACCACCATATCATCATAAATGGTTTGCGCAGCGGTGAGCATGAAGAGATCGCCTGTTGCGTCCCATCCCCGGACCAGAGCCAGTCCCCACCAACCCTCGTCGTCAAAAAAGTTGTTGAGGAATTTAGGAAAGCCCTGCGATCTTCGTTTTCCTGCTAGTTCGTCCCCTATCGTTTCGTATTCTTCCTCTATCGTTTCGTACTTGTACATCGCGACAAACTTTCCGTTCGCCCCGAGCAGCTTGTCCGCCGTCGCGCTTGTCCTCTGCGCATTGTAGAAGGTGGTCTGGAAGATTTCCTTTATTCTGATGGCTTCGTCGATGGCGGGGTCTGCCAAAGCCAAGTCGCCCATAACCGTGAGGCAGTTGGCGCCGTTCCACCAGCCAGTTGTGTTCCAGAGACCCGACGGTAGGTCATACCACTCTTGGAGCGCCATGGCAGCATCTTGGGCCTTTTGGGCATAAGTGCTGTTGTCCACTTGGGGATAGGTGCTGTTTTCGTTCACCGCATGTCGATGAGGATGGGTGGATGCGAAAAAGAGAGTCCGGGCAGCGAGAGGACCCCATTGAATGGCTACCATTTTGATCAAAAAGAGAGAATGGAAGGACAGAGGTGATCGACGAGAAGCAAGTCTCCTGGGTGACAAGTTCGGTATGGGGGGACCGGGGAGCAGTCGATGGCCTATATACCCGACATGGTCACCACTAGAGCCATATATGTTGGGACTGGCGAGTGATGCATTGGACATCAGTGAAATGCGCGTGGATTCCGACCATGTCGTGTGCCGTGTGCCGTTCCCCCCATGTGTTGCTTTCTTTAACGCCAGGGGCCTTACAAGGCTGTCCGACGTCGACTAAGAATTCGAGACCGAGCCCGTCATCCTATGTAATATGCCAGCCGCGCTAGGGCAGAAGCGAATCACTGCCACCCTCCGCCTGATCCATGGTCATGGACAAAGCTGGGCAGTCAGTCCAACGATGGCAGGGCAGCAGCCCACAAAAAGTCATGGCTCACAATTGCAATACTCGGCGATGCTATGCCTGTCAGGAGGCGTAAAGCATCCAGAGATTCATGTTATCAATGACGTAGCTGCGCGCGCAGTAGCTCGTTGGGCGGTCAGGGGTTAAGGCTACCATCAACACTTCAGGTCAAGAGTCCACGGTCATAGACTGCCAAGTGTTTCATAACAAAATTGGCTTCATGCCTGAATGACCCAAATCCCAAATAGGGTTGGCACCTGGATTAAGCGACAAAGGAAGTGAAGAAATTTGGGCTACCCCTAGCTTCTTCGGCTCGCGCTTATTACACCGTTGCAGTCGGGGCGGCTCTGCTACGCCTACAAGGCCTAAATGATGCCGAATACAACGCTCCCTAAATTGGCGTTGCAGCGCCCAGAAAGGGGCCTATTCAGTGATTTAGGGCGAATAAAGAGCTCTAAGCTCCGTCTCTTTGGGTCGCTTCCCTCTACCTCTTCGTCACTTGTTGTCGATGTGCGAAAGCGGCGTCTTTTGTCCAACGTGAAGCGTCCCGAATGGGCAGCCCGGTTCATATCCAATGCTCTCTTTTCTGGTCAGAACACAGAGTGAAACAACAAGCTCGCCACGAGAGTGCCCTGTCTGGTGTGTCTCACGGGGGGTATTCTTGGAATACCTACTGTCCCACCACAATGTCATTGTGCATGTTCTCTCTTTGATTCAATTCACCTGAAAAGTATCATCGGACGTCCCAGGTCCAGGGCTCCTCGCAACATAGGATCATGCGGTGCTGTTCATACGGTCACGAATATTGAGTGATGGAGCCCGTTCATACGGCGCACTAGGTAATCCATGGCGTTAAATCCATCCTTCGGCAAGCGACGACAGCCGCTGAAGCAATCCCGGTGAAATCACACAATCACGAAAGCGTAGTCTGTTCGGCGGGTGTTCGGACAACCCGGGAACTGGTGATTGGCCCTAAATGATGACTGTCGGCTCCAGCATGGACGTATAAATGGAGAGTGTCTCATTGCTTCTTTACACATGACAAAACCCCGAACAGAGTACATACGGAAGGTAATACAGAGCGATGCTGTCGTGATGCGGCGATCATCATGTCTGGGCATCCCTTCTTCCTCATCGTCGTATGGCTGTTTTTGGCGGTCATGAGGCCTGGATTCCCAAAAGGGGTTTCGTCTGCCCTCAGATGCAGTGTACCTCGCGTCGGGGGCTCCAAAAAAGGTCATCCGAACAGGGCACAGGACGAGACCCGATCCCCAGATCACAAAACCGTTTTCCACGACATCTCATCCTCGAATTATGGTTAATTGACAAAGACGGTATTGGCTTGATTGTCAGGGTGATGACGACATTGGGGTTCAGGTACGGGGCATTGTTCGGTGTATAGCGAACTTGGTCTTTCGGTTTTTAACTCCGATGAGTGGTTGGTTGTTGTTGTTGGTGTCCCGTCACGTGAGAAATAAGCTAGCCATGGGCCCATGGCCATCATCACCATTCAATGGTGCCATGGCCTGCACCTGAGCCCCTATGCCCCAACTTTTAGACCTCCGAACTTTGCACAGTGTGACCTATACTCTTCTCTACTTGATACATTCAACATCACCACTATCTTATTGATTCTTGTCGTTCTTATTCAGCCTGTTCACAGTGGTTCCTGAACCAACCGGACTTCCGGGACAAACCCCTATGATGCACAGGAGATCAAGTATCCACTCAGTTCACATATACTGATATGCAGTCATAATCCCTTTCCTGATCATCGTTCTGTTGATCTGTACCTCTATCAACAGAGCTGAAAATATTGACCCTGAGTTCTCTATCGGCATTCTGGGATGGTCCTACCGAGTTCGAATTGTGAGTCCAATAACCGTTGGCTTTCCATGCTGCTTGCTCGGTGGTCATTCCATCCAGATCGTCATCTCACACCCATTTCTATCAAGGAAGCTGGGTCAGATGGACCGGATTCAGTCACGATCCTTTCTTCCACCCGACTTTTACCTCCTTTACCAACAGCGCGAGCCATCTCAAAATCATGGAGCTTTCACATCTTGCCAGGGATAAGGACCAAACTTCGGCAACCTTGATGTGGTGTTTCCGAAGCATGCCACACGATGGGATCAATTTCTAGTCAGCTCACGCCCATTTCCAATCAAAGAAGGGATCACCAAACCAACAAAACAGGTCATCGATTCACAGACCCCTTCGTTTGATCCGTCTACGAATCTTGAGGGACCTCCTCGTCTGTAGGTAAACCGGCAACGAAAAGATGTCGATAGTTTGCTGCTGTTGAGGTGTTCGTCACACCAGGTGATACGATCTTGGCGATATCCATGTTGCACGAGGAAACAGAAACGCCTGCGAAGCCGGGATCGGGGGCTTCTTTTTTTTTTTTTGAGTAACCCAATCGCTTCGGTCCACGGGAACATTACCTATGATCCACACGATGTTCTTCTGGTACCTCTATGCTTCTTTTCGGAGCAAGAAAAAAGTGGCTTGAGACATTGGAAGGATTTGAGACATTGGAAAGATTTTGAGACCTTCGAAAAGAGTACTAACCCCCAGCCTTTTTTTTATAGTTAGGGGACTGATGAGCTGGCAAAGCTTCCCCAGCACCTTCTGGAAGGGTGCCTACCTAATAGCTAGCCACTGATGTCATATTAACGAAAGAAGGCTTCAGTGGCTGAGACAAAAGGGGTTGGTTGGGTCTTCTGGGGTATCAAGTTAGATCCAACTTCAATTTGAAGTCTCTTGGTCTCTCCAATCGTTTTGTTATTGTCAGTATTATTGGCTTTAGTCCGCACGCAACATCTGGGGATCTAAGCTGCTAAGAGCGGCTGAGTTGAAGGTCTTTTTGACCTCTCCAACACATAGGGTAGCTACCGCCATAGCTATCCTTGACTCCATTGTTATTCATCAACTATCTCATTCGCAGTATACATATGAACACGGGGTGTTGTTGCACTTTCTATCTTCGTCAGGGGTCGTCAGAAATTTAGCGGTCAGATAGACAGGAGCAGATCAGCCGGGCTCATCTCAAAGGGTCATCATAGCAGGTCTTAATGTAGATCTGTACGTTCTCGGGGATAAAAGGAATGCGTGCATTCGGATCTCGGAGAAGGAGATTAACCAACTTGGACAGTCATTGTTGTCTGTGTGGAATGCACTCGAGCTTTTGCATCAGACTTGCTAAGCTTTGCTCCGTAACCTCTTTTGTCGTGTGAATTGATGAACAGATTTGTTCTTCGCAGAAAGAAAAAGAAGAAAAAGAAAAAGAAGTCAAAGGATAAATTGTCTTGGTTTTTCATAGCTGATGCTCGACAATTGTGTTGTTCATTCAGTGGAGAAGTTCTCACAGCAGGCTTGCTCCCAAGTACGAGTAGAGGGATTCGTGGGCAGCTACCCAGGTCTCGTTTATATAGTGTTTTGTTCTATCTCAACACATGGCCTTATTCTCTACCACCAATTCTTCATATACAATCATAAGGTAGTAAGGTATGTGGTCTCATATATCCGGATGGTGTACTGGAAAACTCGAGATCCCACCTTTGAGGGAAGCAACGGTGCGGACATGCCATTTTGGCGCCGACATGGATGAGAACCAATAGATGGCTTTTTTCCATTTGCAGAATACCATTTTGAGCACACAAATAACCCCAATACCGCCGTATTCGTCGAACTGCTACCAATTACTACTTGACTTCTTGAGCGGCACTAAACTGAGGATGTGCACGTCGGGCAGTCGGGCGGTCGGGGAACAAGATCGGAACACCCGACGCCAAGACTTTCTACAAGCCGACGGCTTCCCCGATGTTAAACACCGATGGACCATCCAACCACCCTATGTAACTGCCGAACTGCTCGGCAATTAATCCTCATGGCAGTACTTATTGGCTAGTCAACATCCACCCCGAAACAAAACACACACGATCATACAAGAAGGGATTATTCCGTCTTGATTTATGTACACTACACCAAACGCGAGCTACATCAATTACATATAAGGCAGAGGATCCCCCCAGTGGCCAAAGTCCAAAGGAACGCCAGTAAAATCACCCAAAGCGGCAATACTAGTCAAGGGAGCGCCGGTGCAATAATCTACATCAACACTGTTCGAGGGGAGCGTAGTCCCAAAGACACCAACATAACCCCCCGACGACGACGACGATGATGACACGCCGTTGCCATCCCCTAGTACACTCACATGCCCCTGCCCTTGCCCCTGCAGCGGCAACGATTGAGAAGAAGAAGTGTGATCAGAGTTTCTACTGGTCTGCACAGTTGTTGTTGTTGTTGTTGTTGAACGTGTTGTATGTGATGCCTGTTGTTGCTTCTGCTGCTCCGCCACAACCAAGTCATAAGCACGCAGAAAGTTCACCAGACAATCGTGGCACCGCGAGATGACGAGGCTGTTTTCGCCGAAGCGGGACAGTAAGTCGACGGCGTCGCTGAGGGCGGAGCGAACCGTGGTGAGTTCGGAGTCACTGAGGAGGTCGGAAAAGGAGGGTTTTGTGCCGGCAATAAGGAGGACGGTGTAAAGAGTCAGGGAGGCGCCGAAAGCTGTGAGGTGAGTTAGAGATGAGATTGGTATAGTTTGTAGTTAAGTGACCTTTGCCCCCATCACAAGAGCAGGCAGCAAAGCATCAAGGGGCCGGAAGGGAGTAGATGAGTGGGTGGATGACAACAAACGAATTTGACGTACCGTGATAAGCAGTCAACCACCAAGCTCCCGAAAGCAGCACCTTCTGGTTCTGCCACCGGTCCACAATCGCTTTTGCAAGCGCTATACATTCTCTGCAGGCACGAATACATCTCCGCAGGGATACTACACCGGACTCGCGCAGTAGTGCCACGTTCGTGTCGACCTCGCCATGCCCACGCCCAGGTTCCAGCTGGACTCCGAGAAACTTGAGTAGAACTGGACGCTCGACCAGGGTGCATAAACCGTAGTACCGAAGGCTGAGAACGGCTCGTAGGCGTTGGGCTTCGATGCTTGGTGATGGTGATTCTAGGACAGGAGGAGGAATTTCCGCAGCCAAGTTTTGGGGCCGTAAGTCTGGTGGTACAGACTGGTGCCATTGGGATAACTTCCATGAGAAATCAAAGGCTAGACGAAGGGTGTCGAAGGTGTTGACGTGGTTGAGGGAGCTGCCGCCTGCGTTGTCGTCGTATAGCTGGGACACCACCTGACATGTGATATGTGAAAGTTGGACACCGCATTTAAAGGCATCTACGCTCGTTGCAATGACGGCTCGGCTTGCGTACATGGTGGGAAAATGTTCGTTGATGTCTAGTGGGGGTTCCAGTCGTTTCTGAAGAGAGGGAGGGATGGTCATGGGCCGACCGAATTTGGCGCTCAGGTTGTTGTCGTTCATGATAATCAAGAACCACGTTCGCTTACGCATCTCACGCTCGAGAAGGGTCAAGTGTCGAGAGGAATCGGCTGAGTGCAAGCCTATTTGCAAAGCGGACTTGACGGCCAACGAGTGTAAGGTCCAGAGCTGGGCTGACTGGGAAGAGCCATGAAGATACTCGATCATGAGGCAGAGGAGTTGTACTGTATAGGAAGGGGGTATTATGTTAGCGGGCGGTTGCTGGAAATTAGTCAGAACCGGAATCCTTTACCGGTTTCTAAACTGGACGAGATCAGGAACTGTGGCATGACCAGGTCTTTGGCCCACTGAAAGTATCTTTCCGAGGTTTCGGCCGATGTCTCGGAGGGAGTAGAGGGAGAATTGGTACGGTACACGGTGGCAATGATCATGTAGAGCAGAGCCAGCCACACGCGGCGAGCGCCCATGAACCCTTTCTTCCGCAGGTCGTTGTAGGTGCTCATGAACGTGTCTTGATGGATGACGGGGAAGAAAAGGCCTATGGTGCTGAAGTATTCGTGAATGATGTGGGCGGCTTCTGGTTCCGGAGGGACATGATGGCCAGGTCTGGATCCAACGTTGACCCCGTCATCTGAAGGCCCTCGTCGTCCGCTTTCTGAACGCGGCTGTTCAAGTGACGAATACCTTGAAGATGCAAGTGAAGTTGCAGAGGTCGGCACAGCTCGTGAGCGAGAGGTTTGACTTTGAGCCCGAGTCAAGGCTAGCGAAAGTTGGCGCACCAAGGCCACGTTGGAAGAAGGACCAAAATATGTGCAGTTCTCTCCATCATCTGTCAGTTGGACCTCGCCCATGCCATCGACGTGGACATTTCCTTGGTGCGAACGTGGGAGCCCTGTCATTGTAGGCGGATCGCTCGTGCCACTATTAGACTCGCCGACGTCTTCTTGGGCATCGGCGTCATCGCCATCGTCCTGGGTGGTATGTTGACGGCTGGTCCCAGTTCCTCTAGCATTGATCCTGTCTTCAAGAGCACTCAACCTGGAAAGGATGTCCGAAGGAGGAGTGTCTGTGGTGCTTGACCTTGGGCGGTGATGTGGTGCCGGCGGCTCGTCATAGACGCAGGGTGCGTCGAGCTCTTTACATCGACCACAGCTGGGATGTTGGCCATCACACTGTTCCCGTATTGCTGATGTGAGATGCTAGTTGACCACATATCTGCCTCGAGTTCGATGTAAACCGTTTGGAAAGGACGTACCCGTGACTTGCGATTTCGGCAGTTGTGGCAGGCAATGGAAACACGCACGCGCTTCCTTGGACGGTCCTTATCCATGGATTTATGGTCTCTTGTACTTGAAGAAGACTCACGTTGAGACCTGGACGTTGTGGTGATGACACTTTAATGTGGCGATGGACAAGCGTAGAGGTGGTGGTGTTTTGTGTGTACGGTGATATGTTTGCTATCTACATGCATACCACTGTAGTTCTAAAAGCTCAGGCACCCCACCTGCTGATGGCCGCGCTAATGCACGATACGGAGCCCCAGTCGGCATACGGTCCATGTTATAAGCGCTAACACGCACCGACCCGTAACGGCAATTCATTCTTTTCCAAAAACACGCCACCTCATCCCGTCGACACAACACAACACATCTCTCTCCACACAACATCATACAATATCAAAGAGGCGCCGGGTGTCCATCAACATCCGACTTGTCGACCCAGTTACCGTGCAGACCCGGCCTCAACCGCACCGGCAACTTGATGAGGGCCACCTCTTTGGTCAAGTCCTTGGTGTCCAACACGGCGAGCTCGCTGCACATGTCCTCGTAGTTGGCCAGCAACACCATCACATATCCATCGCCCTCCGCCGCTTCTGAGTTGCGCGGGATGAATATGCACTCGCCCGTGAGTTTGCGCGGTCCTGGAAGGTATCGCTGAATGTCCCCCGTCTTGTGGTTTAAGTGAGCGAGGCCGTTGGATATGGGCGCGCCCCCTCCAGCGCGCGGCATGACAAACTCAAAGTCGGTTACCCCGGGCTTGCGGTCGAAGATGCAGAAGAAGGTGTGCTTGTGCTGCCGCGTCGCCACACGGTCATCAATGCGCGGAAACTCCATGTCGTCGTCCACCAGGTATGTCGGCTCTCCCAGCTGAAGCTCGTCTGATTGGTAGTCGAGCACGAAGTTGGCAAAGTGCGCTTCCACCTCGCCCGGCCTGGGCCCCTTGCCGTTCGCGTCTGGCCACCAGAAGAAGACGTTGTCCTTGGCGTAGGCCATCTGGAGCTGGATGTGGCCCTTGTCGTCCTCGAACGCGTTGGCAACGTGGCCGGCGAATCCATGCGGCGCCTCAAACCACTTGACATCGCTGCCCTGGGCCCCTCTGCGCGGCAAGACTCCGATGTACATGGGAATGCTGTAGTCCCACTGCCAATGGTCGCCGCCTTGTTTCATGCGCTCTACATCGCACACGAGGGGTATGATGGGGAAAATGACAAAGTTCTCGGTGACCGCAAAGTCGTGGATCATGCCGCACACCGGGCTCACCAGCCAGACTGTCTCGGCGATCTTGCCGTCGGGTCCGAAACTGTAGTAGCAGATGTCACGGGTGCCGTCTCCCTTGGCCTCGTATCCGAAGCACACCATCTCCCGCGTCACCGGATCGAACTTGGGGTGTGCTGTGAACGTGAGGCTCGGGAGCTGCCCGTCAAAGTCATAGACGCCAAACGTCTCGAGCGTCTCGGGGTCCATGGCGTAGGGCGGTGAGTCCTCCTTGAGTGCGAGAAGCTGGCCACGCCAGTAGACAATGTTGGTGTTGGCAGTCGACCGGACCTTGAATTCAACTAGGTCGGTGTATTTGTTTCTGTATTTGCCTGGGCGACTCGTATGTCAGCGCTTCAGCTGCCATGATGCAAGACAGTGATGCTACTCACCCAGCAGGGATCGGCGTGCTTCTGCCTCACGGACGAACTTTTCGGTCCGCACATAACGCTGCTTGAGGTCGACATGGCCATCCTTGAAGTAGAAGCCACTGATGTTGCCGTCGCCATTGAACCACGGATCATTGGGGATGAAGGATGGCAAGTGTGGTTCTGGCATGACACGGTAGAAGGTGCCCTCTATGCTCTTGGGGATTTCTCCGACTACCTCCAAATTGGTGATGTCGCCTTCGAATCGAACCGGTCTCATGAAACCCGCTGTGTTTTCGCCTTGAAAGTACCTCGGTGCCGGTGGAAGCTCTTCCGGTTGTTTTCCAGGGACCGCGTCCTTGACACCATTGCCATGGCTGTCTTTGGGCGCATCAGAGAAGACGTATTCGGCCATAACGGGAGAGATAAACTAAGAACAGCAAAGTTGAAGAAGACAATGAAACGGCATCTGTAGAAGTGATAGGTTTGCTTCGAGGTGGTGTGGGCTTTCCTGAGAGCAATTCTCCCGAGTTTATATATACGAAAGCTTATGCCGATCAGATGCCATGCGCAACATACTATTCTACTAAAGCCACTTAACCGGCACTGCTGGTTGCCTACGCCGTTATCCCCGCCCGATTCCAACTTTGACGTTGGTACAATATCGCATTGGTCGACAAGCCGATGAGCTAGGGATCGGGTGTCGGGGGTCGGGTCGGGTCGGGGATAGTCCGGGTCAGCTTCCGACAACACCTTGATTACCACGGCTGACCGGCAGCCTTTCCCCGAGACCTCTTCTCTCTTCTCGGGACGACGCCCTCGGCTCGGCTCATGCTTCTTCACTTCTCACCGTCTGTCCCCCTTTATGCCTACGCCAGACTCTTTCTCCGCCCACCTTAACTTCTATGTCCGGGGTAGATGTGGAAATGCCGGCAGTCCGAGTGACACACAGTGCCGGGTCGATTCGAATGTGTATATCGTGGCTCTATGGCCCTTCTCTCTCTCTAGCCATATAGACGGCCACAGAGGTATTGGGGTAGTGAAGCTCGTGTGTCCCCCTCAACGTTCTTTGCTGCTGAGTACACCATCCTGATTCCGGTTTCACCCAATCCAACGTCCATCATGGCCGCACCACCCAACAGCAGAGTCCTTCCACCTTCCTTTGCTGTCACCACCTTTGACGAAGTTATGGATGCCATAGTCACTTTTGTCGTCCTAGACAATCTTGAATGATCAAATGCGGAGCGGTTCTATGGAGATGTGTGGCCTTTGGACGAAATGACTGACCATACCCCGAGCGATGCCATCCAGCCAAATCAGCTGAAGGAAGCCCGAGAGGTAGTAGTCAAGCTTGCCAACCGGTACAAGTAACCATTGTGGACCATCTCGCGTGGCAAGAATCTTGGGCAAGTAAATAACTTCTCCCTCCCCTTCAACAAAGTTGCAAAGCAGTATGCAAACTTGTCGATGAAAAAGGTACCTACTGGGTGAGCGGTGCAATAATACGTGGTTTCGTCATTCTCGAATCTTCACAGGATGAACGCAAGTGAGCAAAGAACACGTCTAGGCCATTGTTGAGCCCAGTGTTTCCTCCTTCGATCTGTACGATTAAATCCGCGAGAAACCAGCGCTCGGTTGGGGCTTAACTCTGGAAAAAACCCCCCTTCGCCTCGACGCGTCCATGCTAGCAGTCCCGAAGAGTCAGGTACGGCTTCCCGGCAATTCGGTGTCCCGGGGATTTAGACAGCCGCTTGGAATGCTGGGTTTGATGTGTTTTGTTTTGTTTGCTGACTTTCACGTCTACGGACGGTATGTGTTTGCGATGGCTCTGGAGGTGTACAGGCCGCATGACGAGGGAGCAAGAATTAAAGGAAAAAAAAAAAAAAAAAAAAAAAAAAAAAAAAAAAAAAAAAAACAAGAAGACTATTCGACAGGCTGATGAAGGATGCAGAGAGAAAGGGGATGTCCGAGTATACAACGCATTTAAATCGTATGGATAGGGTAGGTTTAGAGGGCAGTTTGACTGGCCTGGAAGTGGAGCTGATGAGGACTCTGGATAAGAGAGATGCACTGGTCCAGGTTTTGAAGAAAAATGAAGGAGTTTTTGGATCCTGAGGACTCTTCTTAAGGCAAGGGAAATCGGGCAGTTCGGACGGTGGCCCGGCCCGGACGTAGAGGTAAGCTCAAAGATCGAAGTAGATTCCTACCCACGCACAGTGAGTGCTTCCTGACCTCCTTTTGATGAGGGAGACAAGATGATCGTAGAAGAAAACCCTTTCCGACAAAGTCTACAGTCAACAAACGCAAAGACAGTCTAGAACCAGACAAAGTTCTGAAGGACCTAGCAAGAGAGAGAGCACAAAACCGCCCGTGGATTTCAGTCCAATCCGCAGGCAAAGTTGCGAACCACATCACTGGTTCGGCGCACCATTTGACCCAAGCTCTTCCCATTGCCCTGGCATCAAGAGACGGGAAGACGGGTCCTTGCACGCACATAAGGCGATTAGGCGAACTACCTGGGTTGTAGGCGAGAAAGAAGAAAAAAAAAATCATAATCGTTTCCCATGCCGTCCCGTCCTCCGTTCGTCGGCCGATAATAGCATTGCACGGACTGATTGTAGCAAACCATTCATTTGCTCTTTGGTGCATCCTTGGGTTCGAAGGTACCTCCTAACTACCTATGTGATGAGATGTCCTCAACGGCCCTGGGTCATATCGCTTCCTCCTGGGTAGGCGCTTGTGTAACGCTCGGTTAAAACGAAGAGCATTTTGGTTGTTCTATGTTTCGGATTATTGACAAGGCCAGAAGGAAGGATGTCCTTTATCTTTCAGAAGCGGTCCGTTATAGGATGGATTACGAGGATGTGTTTTCGATTCGTTTCGAAGGACATTTCAGAGACGTGATGGAACTAGGAAGGATGGATGTCTCGTTGTTGGGTAGGTACAAATATGACGGGAAAAGCCGCTCCGGTATTATATGTATGCGGCTGCTTCAGCCCATGTATGTATGCCCTGGGGAGTAGATATCTTGCGAGTGGTTTGGACTTTTACATGCCTGGGTATGTGGGAGGTATGGGCCAAAGTATTGGTACTATCGGGTACGTATTCCTTTTTTTTTTTTTTTTTTTTTTTCGATCAGTGATTACAGATCTTTCTTTAACCCCTTCCGTAGTTATCATTTGTAGTGCACTGACAAATATCCGGAAAACGTTTCACGTTCTGCTTCCCACCGGCTATTCACACCCTCTTCGGCCAGAGCTCAGTTCTCGTTTTCATAGTTACATTTTGGTGGAATACTTACGGTGCTTGCTGCATGCATGTCATCGTATGGAGATTTCCAACAACAAGGGTAATCGAAGGCCGTCGAAAGACACTCTCCGCTTTATACGAGAGAGGAAACTTCATGATGAGACAATGAACTCGTGAGGTGATGGCTACATGTTACTCCGCTCTGGGTTTCCGTTTAGATCTTGTTGCATATTTCGCGAGCAGGGAAGAAGGGACATGGAAACCCCATGCAGAGAGGTCAAGTGTCATG